TAAATGTTTTACCATACACAGGCCAAACATTCATTTTGTCCTTTAATTACTGTTTATATTAACAATGGATCATTGTGTGGAGTATTTTGTGAACTCGAGACACAATTCCTTCACACTGTCGTTTATTTACCTCCACAGCATTGCCGAAAGAGTACCAGAGAATCGGCAAAGCCTTCCAAAACCTCTCCTCTGTTTTCACCAGCAGTGGATACCAAGGTACTGCAATAAATACCAATACAACTACTTTGAATGAGAACCCAAGAAATGGAATCGTCACAATGGTAGAAGCAGAATTAGATACTGTTTACTGTGCAGGAAGTCCTGGCAGGGAAGTATGTTTTGAAACAAATTGACACACGGATGCTATTAGGAAACACGGTGATGACATTTTAACATTTTAACCCCTTCAGGCGAGTCGACCCTGACTGACGCCATGACGGCAGCGGGCAAGACATACGAAGAGATAGCTCAGATGGTAGCAGAGCAGGTACGTAGTGCTATTATTAGAAATCTTGTGTTTCCTTTGCCTGTCTTGAATAATATATTCCACTTGTTTTCCCCTCAGGAAAGGCCTCTCTTTCCTCAAAGGTCTTAGAGTTCCCTTTCTGCGTCTTTCTCAACTACATTGTTTTGTGTTAACTCTATCAATAACCATAATATCTCGCAATATCTGAACATTTCCTGCTTGCGGTCAGTGTTTACTTCCTGTTTGTGGCGTTTTAATGGCCCCTTTAACCTAGCGTCCTGTTCTTAAAGACCAGTGTTTCCTAAATCTAGTTCCTACACTATTTGTGGCTTTCAGACTGTTCTATGTAGTCTGATTGGTGTGTGATAAAATCAAACGTGGGGCTTTTTGATAACCATGCAGCTTTGAGAGGGAGGAATCATCTGGTAAGCTCATGTTGCTTCGGACTCTTTTGTCAGATCTGCTGTAGAGTTGTTGTAGTTTAGCTACAGTAGTAGACTTTGATAATCTGGACTGTGATAGAGATTGAAGTGTAAAACAATGCTGTGTAACTGTTGCTTTAATTCTGCACACAGCATTTACTTGATCAATTCTGGAAAAAGGCAATAAAGTAGTTGGTGAACCGTATTACCATATGAAAGAAATGTGGATATTTTAGCTAAATATTTGTGTTCTTGTAAGGAGAATCTGCTCTATTCTAAACTTGACTTTCTTTTAGGCAAGAGGCCGGTTTGTTAAATTGAAACATTTGGGAAGTTGCTCCTTTGACATAACGTCTTCCTGTTTTTTCTTATCACTTTCAGGGCTTCATGTTATTTCCTGTTTTTGATTTATGGTTACATTCATCTTTATGTTGTCTCTTTCTTTGCTCCCGTCACAGCCCAAGAAAGACCTCCACTTTGTCATGGAGACCAACAATGAATATAAAGGTCTTCTTGGATGCTTCCCGGACACAATCGGAGTCCATAAGGTAAGCTGGGAAAAAGTCACATAAGGATCATTAGAACAAATATATATATATATTTATAATTTGCACCAGATTTTGAGAAATATATCTATATTATTATATGCATATATGAGGAAAAAGTCATAGATATTTTTAAAGAATAGACCATTTCATATTTTGTTTGCCTCCTAAACTGTTATACGAGGAAGTGATGTTAAAGCTTATGATGCTTCAATGACTTCCTGTTTACATTTTGTACTGCTTTTGATTGCACAACCGTACAGAAGAGGAGCTTGTATACACACTATGAAGGTGTATTAGGTAAGGCTAATTCTAAACTGTGCAACTTTATTTGCTACACCCCTCATTTAGAAAGTAGTTTATCAGCTAAAAGCTCAATAAGTAAAACATTTGTAACGGATTTTTAAATATCTGGTGAAACCAAGTCCAGAAAATACCAGTGTAGTGAACATGCAAAACTTATATTTTACTTATCTTTTAATTTCTTAAGCTTGTAAGTTTAATGGTCTTTTGTCTACAATGTCTCTGAAGACTCTTAGATTGTGTTTATTTGTTTGATTCTTACAGGCAGCCATTGACAAAGTGAAGGAGGGTGACAAGCTGGTGGCCACCAGTAAGATCACCCCTCAGGACAAAGTGACCATGGCTAAGCGCGTCAGCACCATGTCGTACGCATTACAAGGTAACACTCACTCAGAATCACTGAAGCGCTGGAGGTTATTGTCACAGGTATCTGACATCTGGTTTCCCCCCGCGTCTCCCACAGCTGAGATGAACCACTTCCATAGCAACCGTATCTATGACTACAACAGGGTCATGCAGTTGTACTTGGAAGAGCAAGTCAAGTTTTACGAGACGGTAAAGCATTTTAATCGACCATCTAACAGAGTAAATTGGAGTCTGTCACAGTCTGTTCTTTTTTGTTGCCTTTTGTATTCATGCTAGTTTTTTCTTCTTCTTTTGAATCCACAGATTGCTGCAAAGCTGAGAGAAGCACACAGTCAGTTCACTACCATGTGAGAGCCTTCAGTCTCGCACGACAAAGAAAGAAGAGTTAAACCAACTCAACATCCAAAATATTCTTGCTTACACTGCATACTTTTCCCTACTGTTAATTTAAATGTCACTTCTTTCTTTTCTCTCACTCTTACCTCATCTCTTGCTTTACTGCTCTTGCCAACCGTCCCTGCTCATGGTGTTACATTCGTCAGAGCCCTCAGATGTAAATGGACCGTTGATAAGCGTGTGCAGCAGCTGACACTTATTTTAGGGCCTGCATTGATAGCAGAATAAGACACACTTGTTACACACACACTTTTCCTTTGTCCTGGCCTGCAGCTTATACAGGAAAGTAAAAGTGCTACATTGATTTGAGTTTCTCTAATCTGAAGTGTTGTAAAGCTTTAGGTGCCAACATGCCTGTGCTCACAGTTGATTTTGAATCAATACTCTACCATTTTCCATGTTATTAGTGGTAAAGATAAGATATCCACTTGTTTCCTATACAGAAAGAAAAAAAGCCATCCTTTCTGAAAGCAGCGTTGCCAATGAATCAGAGATTTACTGTCTTTTTTCCTCCCGGTATTTTAATATGTTTTGTCTCTAAATAGTACCGTTAAGATTTGAAAAAGTCAGCACATCTTTGGTGAAAGCAGTGGAGCTTTTTTATGAATCCTAGTCTTGTAAGAGTTGTCAAAGCCCAGAGTGTGTGTCCTCTGTATGTCCACTGCTGGCACTCCCTAGCCCCCTTTCATCCTGCACTTCCTCAAAAGCTAACAGGAAGCTCCACCCCCTTCCTGTCTTGACCACGTGCCTTGCCCCTTTGAGGGAAATTGAAATGGTTGACTTGGCTGCCCCCCCCCCCCCCCCCCCCCCCCCCCCAGCCTGCGTACCATGACTCTGCAGTTTACATTTCAGGAGAGAAGACAAAATGTAGGATGTTGATACGTAAGTTGGGGTTCATGATTGAAAGCGTTTAAAGGACATTAACCTCCCTCTTTCTCGCTCCTTGTTCTTCTGAAGAATATTTGTCCTTGACCATGTTATGGTGTTTTATATGAAGGTGTAGCAGCAATGTTAGCTGTAAGAATCTGTACTATAAGTAGAGTTTGGGGCGAAGCCATGGATTATGTCTTGTTTGCAGTTTTGCTTTTGTTTTCACCACCCAGTTTGCAATCAGTCTCTAATCATGTTCACGCTTTGTTTTCTTATCACTTGATACCTGAAAAATATACATATATATATAAATATATTCTATATCTGACCTATCAGGTGCTTCTTGTCATTGAGATACTATTTTATGTATAGGAATATTTGCAATACTGTGTAACTCAGAGAGGAGCAGAAATTCTGTTTGATTTATTAAACAATGATTTGTACTCATTGGGAGTTTGTTTGTGTGTTTTTGAAAGGAACCTTGTCTTGTTCTCTGCACACCACACACACTCTGAATAACTCACAGTGAAGCCCTTATTCGCTTTAGCAGCTTCTTGCGTAGAGATGGATAGGAATGAGAATGAGTCGGCAGCCTGTGTGAAGGGTCAAAGAGTGTGTTTGTGCACTCTTGTAGTTGGGCAAGTGAAAGAGTCCTTTTACCCCACGTACAGCTCTCTGCCCCCATCAGGTGCAGCTGGATGTTGAGGCCACATAATGTGGGATTTCATGCACCACACAGTACATGCATTCTCAATATTTGTTGTGTATGTGTTTAGCTGTTTAGGGCTTCTAAGCTTGGAGCAATAAGACAAATACTCTCATACTGAGTGTGTACAATCTTGTAATACCTTTTATTATTTTTGTTTTATATTTACCAGTTTAAAATGAACTGACCTGCAGTTTTCTTCCTGTATCCTTCAGCTCACATTTGACCTCTGCTCAACACATGCCCGCTAAATTAGCAGAAACCTGCCAATAGGCAAAAGGTCTCTGGAGACCCATGCCTGGAGTCATTTGAATGTAAGTAACACTCACTGGATGCCACGGATAAACAGCACTGTGTGTACTGTATGATTAGAGTTATCTCTTATTTCCACATATCAGAAATGTCCCCACTGTTTGAGTGCTCTTGTAGACAAAAAACACTTTTTTATATATTCAATTGTGTCACTTGCGTCACATTCTGTCAGTAAGGAAGTGAGCAATTATTTACCAAAGTAAATATATTCATTTGAACTTTTATTGCACAATATTCTGTTCATTAATGGATACATAATTTGGTTTACAAATTATTACAAACCTTAAAATTATGATAAGCAAAGCAACAATGAAAATGACTTTAGGTTATTTAAATGGTTGCAAATGAACTTTTTGTCAATCCACAAGTTGAGTAATCTTCTAATTGTAACAGCTGTATTTACTACAAGTAGTTTAATTTATAACAAATGATCATATTTTAGTAGCCCTTTATATGTTTTGTGTGCAGAAAAAATAGTCTGTAAAGTACTTAGAGCTGTCAGACAAATGTAGCGAAATAAAATGTACAAATGTGTCTCTGCATTGTAGTGATGTAGAAGTAAAGATGTGGCCTACAAAGAAAATACTAAAGTAAAAGGACCATCCAATACTGCATTTTGTATATACACATATAGTGTTTATTGTACCATCAATACAGTATGTATGTTTACACAGTCCTCATACATCTTCTCTGCCTGACTATACTGTTAGACAGTAGCACTTATATCAAAGGGTTATTATATCTAATGTAATTCAGTGTCCTTTCACCTGTTAAAGTATTCAAACCCTTTTTATTTCAATAACAGTTTACACAATAGATATAGCTTATAGTTGGCTGCAATTTAAAATGACTACAGTTGGATAATCATACAACTGCAGATCCTTCAATAAACATGGTCGTCTTGCCAGCTGCACATGCCTCCTCTGTCAACACATCGTACAAATGTACCATTTTAAACTGTATTGATAAGAGTTTGTCAAGTGTTAAAGTATCAAACTAAAGTACAAAATAGAAGTAGAAAATAAGGAAGAACTCACTCCACATTGACTCAATGAGAAATGTCCAGGAACATTACAGAACTCCAGAGTATAAAGTTTGTGTTTGCAAAAATACGCAGCAGAAAAACAGTTTTGAGGAAATAGAGCCAGATCTTTAGGTAGAGTAGTTCAGAGGTAACAGAAGAGAGGTCCTTCTTTGTTGACATGAGTGGCATTCAGTTCCTTCATGATGAGCTCTGTCAATAAAAACATCCCTGGTGAGATGGCTCTGCAGACATTATTTCCGGGGTTGCTCTTCTCTCCTCTCTGTTGTCATGGCCACGGTGGGTCATGGTGACAAACGTGCTCTGAAAGAGTGAGGTCGGATCATCATGCTGACTTTGCGTAGGGAGTAATAGTCAGAGTCTTTCCAGGAGTACCAAACGATCCCATCAGGACCCAGTGGCCCCAGGCCTTTAGGAGTGTAAACGCCTCCCTGCAGGAACAGGAAGTAGTAAACACTCCGATGACATTAAAAGCATAATGTTTGGGGTGATCTTTGTACACTCACCCTGTAGTAGACGCCATTTAGGTTGGCGTAGAAGCACTGGTTGTACCACCAGCCGCCGTGGGAGATCTCTGCACAGATGTTGCCACTGTCGGGGGTGCTGAAGCCCTGCTTGTCGTGGTACCAGCTGAAAGAGTCCTGCACTGTCCCACTGAAGCCTGACACATGGAGACGGTACAGATGCTCCTCATCTTCCACACTGCACGCACAAACACACAATGATGGAGTAGGGACATTATGCAAGAGATGGTTGTGCGTGTTTGTGCACTTGTATGCCGCTAACCTGAAGCTCTGGTAGAGGGCATGTTTGTGTCTGTTGCTCCAGTCCTCCAGCTCGATGCGGAGGCTGTAGTCTCCCTGGGTGCTCAGGTCATGTATGTGGTTGTTTCCCAGCCAGAACTCTGAGTGCAGGTCACCAAAACCGTCCCTGTAGTCCCTCCAGCTGCGGTCAAAGCTCAATGAGCCGTCAATGCGCCGCTGGATCACAGTCCAGCCCCCACCTGAGGCAAAAAGTAGGTATATTACTAGATGTATATCGTATTGTCTATTATTTGTTCTGCTTCAATTTGTTTTGTTTTGTTTGTATAGCATTGGAGTTGGCAGGATGTGGGCATGTGCCATTTCTCACTATCAGGGTAATGTTCATAAATGCCTTGTTTTGTTCATTAGAAACCAAAAGACTTTCTATTTAAGTTGATACAAAAAAACTGAAATCAGGAAATCTCTTATGAGGAAGGCTGTGTACAGGATTTCCCCCCCGGAGCGTCTATTTGTACCCGGGTGAAAATAGCAACAGGTATTCGGCTATTTACACCAAACCCCCTTTCTCCCCTCCCCTCGTTGCATAATGCAACAAAGCGCGGCAAAACAAGTAATGTCCGAATGGGAGTTGAAGACATCTTTTCAGAGACATTACATCTTTGGTTTGAAGGATACACATGTAACAGTTAGGATAAATGACATACATTGTGTTGGTTTCTCACTGTAATAATGTAATATATGCAGGGTGCAAATAGCCAATGTAGTACACCCCGGGTGCAAATAGTATTGTTGAGTATTTTCACCCGGGTGCAAATAGCATTACCTATAGATTCAAAACATTATCAAATGTATGCCCGGATGTCAATAGCATCCGGGTGACAATAGTGAACTTCAAAATAGCGTCTGCCTTTTTACTTAAATAATTGACTTATGTTTGCAGGACTAATGCCACGTATGATGGGTTATTATTTTGTATTACATCTTGTGAAATGAGAAATACTTGTTTGTGCTTGACAACATCTGGTGGGAAAATCTTGAAGTTCAGCTAAAAATAAACATCTTCAATAGAACGTTCTACTCATGTGATTGTAATTATGACTCACCATCTGTGTCCATATCACAATAGACCTGCACAGGTACGCCGGCAAGGAATGGGACTACTGTGTAGAGCCCTGATCTCCTCACTCCATTGTAGTAGATGGAAGCACAGTCTATTGGACAGTTGCTCACATGCTGATACTCTGAGGGAACACAGTGTGAGATACGATTTGGTAGGAGTAAATCCACAAGGGGACATTGGCGCCCTCTGCTGGGGGTCACAGCACGTGAGACTGCACGCACTGTTTGCTTCTGAAGTGTACCTGTCTGAGGAGGTTGTTGGGCACTCATCAGCGGGTTGGGGCGGACCATGTTGACCAAGCACCCGGGGCTTTTTTTAACATCATCCACCAAAAGTGTCAGGTTATGCAGCTGGTTCTAAAAAGAAATGAAGCCATCAAAAAACACCCAGTGCAAAATAAGTTATGATGTTTTTTGTGGCTTCTTGTGATGGGTGTACCTGGAGGTCTAGGATCAGAGTGCCCTGTAGGTGCAGCAGGGTGTTGGTTTCAGAAAAGTGATGCTCCAACTCATGAAAACGCTCCTCTAAGGAGGAATTTGTGGGGCTCCTCTCTCCACCCTGACAACATACATGAAAATACTCAATCACAAAAGCCCGCTCTCATAACAACACACAACATATAGGCATTAACTGAGATCTGGGTAAGGACACTTTTAAAAAAGTGTACAGAATATTTGAATTATTCATTTTAGCTCGAGGCATGCTAGGACATTTTCTCCAAGAATTCAAAGTTACACCTTGTGATTTATTTATTTTCAAGTGATACTTATGAAGGTGAAATATGCCTTTAACTTACCATGAACAAAGCCTTTAATTTAGTACTAGGGGCCTACATCTGTAAAGTGAGCACATTCAAACTAAAACCTGCAGGTCTCCGGGTGCTCTCAGCACAAAAAGGACGAGCCCTCTCTTCTAAAACGTAAAGCCAGACACACAGTATGTGGTCTATTCCTAGCCTTGACATGGAGGATAACACTAACTCCCATTACTACAAACCCTGCTGGATCCCTCTCTCCACGGCCCCGTTCTCATGAACCCTGTCCAACGTCCACCTTTTGCCACTGAGCGGTCCAGCTGACAGCCTCTGTTTGTGTAGGCTCACTGCCTGAGACGCAACACGTGGAAGAGTAGCAGGCTAATCCTGTTAGTGACTAAGGTCAAGGACATGCTGGGGGGGAGCCAGCTCCATGACCAGGCACCATGTTACTCTGCAGAACTGTAAGCAACTACTGTGTCTCCTGTGCTAAAACACAGAGCAGGAGTGGATTTTTAAAGAAAGTTAGGTAAAGTTTCATAAAAGTTGACCGCTAAGTAAAGTATCAAACCATGTTTAAGACTTTTTAAGACAAATATTTAGCAAAAAGGCCCTGAGCAGATGAAATACATAATAATAAGTTAATATTTAACTAAAAGTCTGGCTCTGAATAGATATTCAATGCCAGAAGAGATTTAAAGAGCAGAATTCTTCAAAATGTGTAAAAAAGTTATATCACTTGTCTTTAAAAAGGAGCAGTCACATTGTTTAACATCCGGTGAGCTGCATGTGGACTAAAGAGGAACCGAAAGCAGTTCAGAGGATTGTTGCTGATAGTTGACCCAGGGCTGCTAAGTCCATATGGAGATCTCACATGCAGCTCGAGGACTCTGATGCGGTGCCGGTGGTTCCTCAGCTCCTCCTGCAGCTCAGAAATGGTCTCCTTCAGCGTCACAATCTGCTGCTTCCTCTCCTCATTCTCATGCAGCCAGAAGGAGACCTCATCTGTGCAGCGAAACATGTCCGGGCACTTCTGTCCCTCCAGCTGTGGCAGCGTGGCCACCAGCCGGCACATCCCATCCTCCATCACCTGTTCCATGACAAAACAGTGAGAACTTCCAGACCTGCTGTTGCTCAACGGTGTCAAAAATATCTAGTGATATATAATTTAACTACAGCCTCAGGTAGCCTAGCTGTGACTGGAATTTTTACTCTGGCAAATCAATAAATTCACCACGAGTCAGTTTCTTGCCATAAGCAGAGTTTTTACTTTCTATCTCATGTCCTTAAAAACAGACTCAAGCATAGAGAACACTTCAAAAATCAAACACTTTCTATTGCACATGAATTATAATTAGATGTTATAACAACATTTGCTACAATACATTTTTCTTTTGGAATATTTTCAATTTGTTCTGTTAAATTCAATGTGTGTACATGTGCAATGCTGCAAATCTGCAAAAAGTTGTTTTTAATGGTTATATTGTATTATATTAATTAAGTCAGTAGATTGGGTACTTATTGGCTTAAACATACATTCCTATCCACAATGTTATCCGTAAACTTATCCTTGAATGAATTCAAATATGACAGTAGATTTTTATAAATATAACCACAATAAGGACATGGATGTTTCTGGTTTTTGGCAGTTGATCATGGAGCATCAAATGACATCATTCTGCAGTCCAGTTGATGTTAGTTGTCAGTTTTCTAGTTATGTTCACCTTGTAAAAATACATTTTAATGCAATTCTTTCAATAAAATGTAAAGAGTTCAAATGATCTCAACATCTAACAACTACAATATGATCCTAATCTTTTAAACAGCTGTTCAAGGTAAACTTGTTCAAAATATCACAAAAAATAATCAAACTATGAAAATAGTTGGTCTAGCAATATATATATATTTTTTCCAACTGCATTTGTTATCTCAACACTCCTCAGAATTTTCTTGTGACACATTGGAGGGGGCGTGGCCCACACAACCAAAATAATGCACTAAATAGCTGCATTTTGACCAAATACTTTGGTAAAATGCTACAATACATACATTACAAAATGTAATATGTAATAATATATTGTTTACTGGGACCACATTTAGCGAGAAATTCACTTTGGTTAGTCTTGAGTATTGTTTTGCTGATATTATCTGTACTTTCCCTCAATACTATTTTTTAGTTGTATAAGTACTTAAACTGTCTGGCACTATATTCAGACTTTATGTATATTTTCTGAAACCAGCAGAGAGTTGAGTTGCTGTTTCAGAGATCAGACACGTCTCTAGTAAGAGGAGGAAACAGCTCGTTGAGATTACATTGGCTTGTATTCCGGATGTTTACAGTAATTACCTGGTTAGTGTACTCTCCGCACTGGGATCCCCCTCCATTGCGCTGATTGGTCGTGTTCAGGCTGTTTGCTCGGGCCTCGGGGAGCAACAGGGTGAGGATACAGAGAGCAGAGCACAGGCTCCAACCGGGGGAGAGGGTGAGGGACAGGGGGGACATTTCTGCCGCCTGGTTAGTTCGTCCCGGCCTTTTTAGTTAGAACGAGGACGGGACACAGGAGTGTGTGCTCCACCTTATGAGGCTCTGCTGGAAACTGAGAAAATCAGTGTATCATGCTCAGAATATTTACTGCATACACAGTCTCTTACACATGCAATTAGCAAAGTGGGATTACTCCCCACGGTCTATCACATTACTAAAGATTGTCCTCAGGTAACTCAATGAACACACACACACGCGCGCACACACACACGCGCGCACACACACACACGGAAGTTTGCACATGTATCCTGCTCTTCAAAGCCAAACTATTCTTACTTTCTAAGTCGCTCATTAGCATAAATGCATGCACAGATATCATGACAACATTTAGCATTGCCTTCTGCAGAAATCTTTTTTTCTTAGTTTTACATTTTTTTATTAAATAGCAGTGACTCACCCCAGTAAAAGACCAACTTCTACCCCATTCCCAGCCCATTTCAGGCTGAGGGGTTTTCTACATTTCCTTCTCCTTTTTTTGTGTATCTCCGGTATCTCTCTCTCTCACTCACTGTGTGTGCCTCATGCTCTACTTCTGTGCCCCTCTCTCTCCCTCTCAGTGTAGACATCTTAGTCCTATAATCCACTGCTAATAGGATTCAACATGACTGAGGGATGGAAGGCAGATGAATAGGAAGGCGGTAATGAAATTATTGGTAAAAGAGACACAATATATGCAATATAGATGTAAACATACTAAGCAATATGTGCAACATAAACACAAAACAACCTAACATCAAGTGATTGGGAAATATGTAGTGTATTGCATTTCATGGTGATAAAGCTTATGCAATTCAAGGAATAACCAGATTTTGACATGGACGGATAATTAAACTTTATAACTTAAACAGAACAATTAATGTATGTGCATTGAATTGAATTGAATGCACATACATTACATGCATCTGCAAAACTCCACACATGGGCACCTACAGTAAATAAGCATCACCTCCAGGCACAATAATCCTGCTCAAAGCCAGTCGTAATGAAGGCTGATGTGAGTGGGAGAATGAGGGGTGCTGATCCTATTACAGCCGCCAAGCCGTTCTTTACATCTTTATACTCTCCACTAGCAAACATGGTCTCCTTGTTATTAGGAAAAATTGCTATTGGAAACCAAATTCTTTGTTTTTATTTGAATAATAATGTAAAAGCTATTCTGTAGGCTTGTATAAACTGCAAAATATATCCTGAAAGCAGCTTTCTGTACTGTGACTGTGCCATATCAATTTGCATTGCTGCCTGAGGGAACTGTTGCACTCTCAAAGAGGCTCTGCAGAGAAAAATCATCTTCCTGCTATTTTCACAAGACTCTGCACACCACACACGACCAATGCATTGCAAATATTATACAAACATATTTGATAACCCATAAAAGCTCTAAGGAATGCTAAACCTTGCTCACAGAAACAGTTGCTGTTGTTCCTGTTGGTGTCTGCTGTCTGAGTGTGAGAGAAACTGTGTGTGAGGCCACATGGTGGCGCTATGTTACTACTTAAATACCTCCTAGCCTTGACTGAAGGAATAATGAGCTTCCCTACTGATGTGCACAACATTATACAAACAACAAATAACAATATATTATTAGTTACTAGACTATTCTTACTGTTGATTTCATACAAAAGGAAAACGAGGTCAAAAGTAATGTAGGAAAGTCATCTTATCGGATTTTGGTAACTTGGTGCCATAGTCAAGGCTTTTTACACAGAATATACTCAAAACTAATTAAAGGGTATTGTAAAAATGTACCTGTAAAATATATTTTTTGTAATTTTTATTTAATATCCTCAAAGCCTGAATTTTTGTTCGGTTCTAGTTCTGTAAAAAACTACATTTAGGCTTCATGGTGCCAACTGGGCATGTTTGTCAAGCCTCACCACAGTCATTTATCAAAAAGCATTTAACCTCTTAAGCCCCATGGACCCGGTTGCGGGGCCGAAATCGCGTCATTTGCAGGAAACAACGTCTAAGGAAACTTAATATTAAATAAACTATGAATATTTTATATCCATATAACGGGAAAAAACTCATTTAACTGATCTTTTTCATTTTATTTTCTTCAAAAAAAACACACAATGCTGACACTGACCCTCTGAATTAGCCCCGAGCGAAAAATGCTAACCTATTACTGCACCAAAAATCACTCCTAGCTCCCTTATTACTTATCTTAGCTGCACATCCAACACATCGTTTATGATCGTAAAGACACAGAATCTAACGGTGCCCACCTCAACACTGAAAGATACAAACTCGCGACGTTATCAACAAAAACGTACATCAAAACATGTGGCGCTAGGTAGCCTAAAACGCTAACATGGCTTACCTTGGTTTTGTCTGGTCAAAACTGGTCTTCAATGGCATTAACACGATAAAAACGATGATGTAGTTAATCCATAGGTCAATATCAAATATGACTGTGTCCCCTTTGAAATGTTCTGATAATCTATAAGCAATAAAACTGCAATTCCGTTTTCAAATATCAGAGCAGGAATATTCCTACACTCTGTAGCAAGATTGAATACGCAAAGAGACGCAACCTTTTTTAACATGAGTGTGTGCGGGACGATTTCCCTTCGATTCTATTGGCTCTAACGGTCAGAAAGAGATGTCACATGTCAAAATCGAGCAAGGGGGGCCAGAGATAAGGAAAATCCACCCAAATGGCCCCAGAAGAGGTTTTTTATGCTAAATCTGTCTAAAAAGGTCAAATATCACTTGTTTTGCATCAATCTTTATACAGGGTACTTATTATATGTTCTACTTTGGATTCATAAAGCGTTTAGTCTACTAACCCATCATCCAAGGTTCATTTTCACTATAAGTACAAAATATGTTTTGGACGGACACTATAATTTACAGTTTTTTACCATGTTCAATCTGAATTTTCTTTAAAATAAAAAACATCTATATTGATTCTGACTTTTCTACATCCAACTCACAGGTTTATCATTACTTTGAGAAAAAAGATTATTAATTTAACCCTTTTAGAAGGGAAGATATTTGTTCTGGGAATGTCATTTTCGAGCCTGAAACCTGAAAAACAGGCTTGCTTGGGTCAATTCACTCACTGGTACTAAGTGGCGAATACAAATGTTTTTTTGTACGCAGCTTTAATGGACATTGTGTATAAACTGCTTTTAATGATGGGCTTTCTCTGTAGCAACTGATTTATACCCAGTAAAATCAACACCAGCAGACATCTGTTTAATTAATTATCAATAGCTGCTGATGATGTTGCTTTAAACGTCATAGTGTAATCAGAAATCATAGTGATAAAAAATCTATGTTATGAAGTCACTTTGCTGTTATTAGTGTCAGTCTTGATTTAAATGTTATATAGCTCAGACAACTGTTTCCCAGATACTCTTTTCAGATGATATATCATATATACTGTGGAAATACATGTATGTAGTTAAGAGAGAGATAAGAAAGAATAATCTTGCTGACCAGAGAATTTTAAACTCACACACGGCATTTTTCTTCTTTCATCCGACACAGCTTGACCTATATTTGATCAATAAATGAGGAGTTACACAAAGCCCACTCACTGTGACAAACATCTACAGCTCAGTGTCTTGTTTACAGTGTATGGACTATTGATTTTTGGAAACAGCAGATACGGTTTCATTCTTTAGGGTTGTTGTTATCTCTCGCTCACACATGGTTGACAGAAAAACAAATGAGCAAAGAAACATTGAGAATGAAGATGAAACAGAGAACAGGGCAGGGTTCACTGGAGGGGTTGATATGTAGAAAAAATGTGTGAATTATAATGACTAATTGCTCTGCAATCACTGGACCTTAACCATTTTGAGAAAATATGGAATTTTAGACCAATGTGTTAGACAGAGATTAGCAAAATACCAAATAAAGGATACATTCATATTCTGTATTTGAGGGACATAGAATTGTTGTCAAGGAGCATTACAGCTCTCGTGTTTTCGCTTTTCTTTAATTGGTCGCCCATCTTTGTGTACACTGTCTTCACAGTATGGCTTTTTTCTGAGTCAGTTTTAAACAGTCTCTTCTAATTCATGGCTTATGTTGATTCGAACAAAAAGAGAGTGCACAAATTACTTAATGATTGACTAGAATTTTTCCTAGAAATAATTATAATTTGGTAGTAATTATTATGGAATTAGACATTTCCTTGAAAGCCCTGCTCCATTAAACAGTAGTAAGTTGTGTTTTACATCTATTTTACTTAAGTCATTTGTAAGTTCATTAGATTGGATTACATATTGTCTCTACCTTTTCATGTTAGCCTTACCAGGAAGCTTCCTAGCCAATTTAGGAAATTACAGATCCCGTAATAATAATAATAATTTTGCATTAAGTGTGTTTACTTTAAATGTCAAGTTCAATTACGTGTGCATAAATGTAAGCTCATTAAATGTAAGAAATTAAGGGCGGCACGGGGCAAACATTTCAGAACAGCCCTAAGAACGGTGACAGTTTACTTTTTAAGGTTGAGTTATGGCCGATATACTTAGAGCAGTGGTTCTCAACTGGTGAGTCGCGGACCCGTTTCGAGTGGGTCGCGGATGTGTGAGTGAAGAAAAACAAATTGAAAAAAAAAAAAGATTGGAATTTTTTTTTTTTTTGGGGAAACTTTTCAAACTTTTATTTTGAAGGCCCGATTTTCTAACGCTGTGCATGCAGTCGGCGTTGGACTGGAAGTACCGGAGACCATAAACGGTTTTGAAAACTTCTGTCACATAGTGATCATCTTCTCGATAAAATATCTTTGCTGATGTTTTTTCGAGTCTTCTGGCCAATCAGAATCAAGATTGTTGCCGGAAGTCCCCACGGAGAATAACTTTGCGGTAGAACTATTCTTTATACATCCATAGTTACAACTTAAGATAGAAATGAACACATAATGAAATATGACTCCCGGTTTGATGATTGACAGGTCACCGAACAATGGGAGCTATCTACCCTTACCCACAATTTAAAGTAAGTCACACAGACTATCTCCTCTTTACTCTTCTCGCAGCAAGATGTCAGAACAAAGTGAAAAACAAACAATGGCATAAAATATTATTAATATGTCGGGTAGTAATAGATTTATTTATTTTCTTCTCAGTGTACCAGAATGTGTAGTTTATGTTAGTATTTCTAAAAATCTCCCCAGACCCCCCCTGCTGGGGTTGGGTTTCCAGCATGCGTGCCTTTTTATATAGTTCAGCTTTGATTCCATCATTTCATCAAACCTTTTTAAAGCATACTTCAGTTCTGTGAAGGGATATGAGGGATATATGCACTGTACTTCACTTTTATTAATATTGTATGCTGAAAAGCGTATATATTATAGCACAATTTTTTGTTGAATAGATTTGAGTGCTTCAAAATGTTGGGTCGCGATGTATTGACCAAGTAAAAAGTGGGTCCTGAGGCCTGACCAGTTGAGAACCACTGATTAGAGGATGCACACTTATCCTTGAAACAGTGCTTTATTTACCCTTGCTTTTAATTCCGGACATTAGCAGCACTTAATGCAATAATTTAACAGTCAAAGCTGAGACAAGCCGGAATATCGTCCAATATATTTCTCAATATAAGAGTGAACTTTTCTTTCATTAAATAAACATTAACTGACTTGTGTTTCTTCAGGGCAGTCACATAAATAAACAGCTGGTTCACTTTGCACCTACGTTGATAAATAATGGAGGCGACGTTCTGTGGCTGAGAGGGTGACATAGTTTATGAAATGTCATATTACATGAAACACAAGAAACAAACAAGGTGCTAGTGTTTGATGAACACACTTGTTGAGAATCACAATCAGAAACGTTGCCAGGTATTTGGTACAAGACACAGTCAAAGAAGATTAGTTGTAAGAAAAGGACAATAAAGAAAAAAAATGATAAAAAAACTCTTTTAAGAAAACTCTTTTAACATTAAAATATAACAATATTTACATGGAATATGGATGAAATATAGAAATACCCGTAAAAATATATATTTAATAAAATGAAGATATTTGCAGTATTGGCATTACAAGTGGAAAGCCCTGCAGATATGTAACTAAAAAGATTGACTTTTAGCCTCTGATATATGCCAGAAAATGTATTTGATCTGCTTAAAGGAATGGTATGCTCATGACACTCATTTTTAAATAATTATCATCCGATAAAACAGACCAGTCTCTGCCAGTCTTTCTTTTTTTTTTTAATCCGATGACATTATCAGTGATTTTAAACTGATTAATTACCGAAATAACATCAACACTGTGGGCGGCGCCATTTTACCGGACGTGACGTAAACCATGCGTTTGGTTTCGAGGACACGTTGATGTTCATGTTATTTACTGTAGTTACTCTCTTCAAATATGCCTCATTGTATCGCGAAACATTGCCACAATTCTGATAGGAACAATCCACGGAATGCTCGGTTCCATCTGTTGCCAAAAGGTAAGCGTAGGAAGTACGTTCGGAGGCAGTGGCTAGCGAAATGTGGCCGGCCCGAACCGAAAGATCCACAGGCGCATGTATGCAGCGAACATTTCAAGTTTCCGGACGACTACTCTGAGAGTATGATAAAACATAACATGGGATTTATTGAACAACCATTACTTAATGGAGATGCAGTACCATCGGTCTTTCTGGTGTCATCACCGACCAGGACACCAGTTCGGCCAGTTGAGAAATCGCCCTCTGCAAGTGTGAAGCGACGGAGGACCAGAAGTAGTGCTCGGAGTAAGAATAAGGTATGTTATAGCGCATTTCCATTGCAGCGGGTAGCCCCGTTTAAACGTCCTTTATCGTCCAGGCCAGGTCAGTTTTTGGTGGCCTTTCCATATAGCGTAGTACCGGCTAGTGGGTATTTTCCCCCAGTTTTTCCGGCCCCATAAAATCGTGGTTCTAGGGCCAGGGACAACGAGGCTGATTATGCTAAACTAGAGAGGGAATCGCTAGCCAGGGTGGTACTACATGCATACATATCTAGTAATCAAAATCATTGTATCTACTAAGTAGTACTAAGTAGGCTCGAACCTGTATGGCTGAATTCCCCCATCCAATCTCTTCATATTGCTCAAAACTTCTTCCTCGGCTGACGAGTCCGAACTCAAATACTATGCCATGTTTTCGTGTGTTTACAAAGTGAACGCATGGATGACGTCACGACCATCACGTGACTACTGAAAATGGGCAAAATGGCAGCGGCCTGACGGAATATACAGGTTTTAATAAAAAAGAGCTATAAAATCATTATTTACCGGGGAATATCGCTGATTTCTTCAGGGTATGGTTTAAACATAATGTTTCACTAAATACTGAAGTTTTGATTAATTATCTAATGAGTGGAGCATTCCTTTAACAAGAAAGAAGACCATGATTATTGTTTGGATTCACAGTCACCTCGACATTCACACTTAACC